ATCTCCAAGCAATCTCCAACCCACCAATTGAAGATTGCCTTGGGATTACCCCCAATCCCTAGGGATTACCCCCGATTCTCTTCCCATCCATTCCCTACCCTTCTTTGATGTACTTAAAGAGCTTCAAGCTCATTACTAATGCATCGTTTCTAAGCCTAAGTTCTAACATGGTATCAGAGCCCTTCAACCGCACACGCGGATCATGATCCTCTTATCTCTGCGGATGTTCGTCTCGCAAACCTCAGCGTAACCACCTTCAATCCGTCGCCGGTGATTCGCGACATTCGTGGGCGGAAATTCTCCCACACCACTTTCCCGTCACTTTCGACGACATCTACTATTTCACTGGTTAGCGCATCGTCGGCGCTATAACCTTTCACTCGTTTTCGTCGAACGTCATCGCGTCATTTCTTCTCCTCGTCGGGCCGCCGCCCGTCACCCTGCAGCTTCTCGACGGGCCGCCGCCCGTCGCCCTGCAGCTTCTCGTCGGGCCGCCGCTTGTCGCCCCCCAGCTTCTTGTCAGGCCGTCGCCCGTCACCCCGCAGCTTCTCGTCGGGCCGTCGCCCGTCGCCCTGTAGCGTCACCTTCGGGCTGCTGCCCGTCGCCCCGCATCTGCACTTCTACCCCATCCCCCCCCATTTCCCGCAACTGAACAGGTGCAATAGCGCAGCCGAGCAGCAGCGCAGCCGCGAAGCCGAGCAGCCGTGTAGCCGCGAAGCCGAGCAGCAGCGTAGCCGCGAAGGTGAGGGTGGTGTGTGGGGGGGTGTGTGGGAATAGGGCTAGCAGACACTAAATCAGCGCTTCCGTCAAATTCTCCTTCGAAAACCCAAAACCTGAAAAATTATCTTTTGTAAACCCAAAACCCCAAGTTCTTCAAATTCTCCTTTGTAAACCCTAAACCTCAAGTTCCTATCGGTGACTTAAGAGCAGCGCTCCGCGCAAGACACTAAGAGCTCCTCATCATGGCATTTGCCTCATCCACCATGGCCAACCCCATCACCCCACTCCGCCTTGAAGCCGATGGCTCTAGCTCCAACTTCAAAGCATGGAGCTATGGGGTTGACAAGCACCTCTTGAGCCGTGACGTGCAGGGATTGGACCTCAAGGACGTCCTCCTCAACCGTGACAAGGGAAAACAGCCCCCAATCCCTCGTGAGCCGACCGAATCCACTAGTGATACTGACATGAGGGCGTACGAGGAAGCTGTTGAGAAGTACCGGAAATGGGAGAAGGCCGATGCTCCTATCATCAGCGTCTTCATTGCCTCCACCCCTCCCGAACTTGTCAACACGTTCCACAACTACCCTACCTCCAACGCCATCTGGAAGTACCTCCAGGATCGGTTCATGAACAAAACTGCGGTCGGAGTTGCCATCCTCATCCCCAGCATGTTTCAAGTCCGCCTTGAGGATTGCTCGGGAATGGCTGACTACATCGTCAAGGTGCAGACTATCCATGGCGAACTTAAAGAGCTGGGTATAGTCTTTACCACCATCGGCTCGGGCACCCGAACTTCCGCACACTTGCTGACATGGCCTCCAAGAAACTTCTATTCGGCCTGCCAGCCGCACTTCCTCCACCACCTGACTCACCCGCTCCCACGTGCCTTGATTGCACCAAGAGCAAACTGCGCCAACAGCCCCCCATCCTGCCTCACCCACAGTCGCAGCAGCACCTCTCGACCTCGTGCACATGGACGTCTGGGGCCCTGCCCCCGTTCCCGCACGAGGTGGCCATCGCTACTTCCTTGCAATTGTGGATGACCACTCCCGCTATGTCTCTGTTCACCTCCTCCACACCAAGGCTGAGGCCCCATAGGTCATCATGGCGTGGGTCAAGCAGGCACAGACCGCTTTTGACCGCAAGGTCAAGCGCCTTCACTCGGATGGGGGGGTGAATTTTGCAACGACAAGCTCAAAGTCGTCTGCTCCTCGGAAGGCATCCAACAAAACTTCACCCTCCCTAACAGCCCGCAGCGAAACGGCATAGCAGAGAGCCGCAACCACACCCTAGTGCAGATCACTCGGTGCCTCCTCAGCCATTCCAACGCTCCCCTCTCTCTCTGGGGGTACGCCCTCTACCATGCCGCCCTCCTTTATAATCTTTACCCCCATCCGCATCTTCCCGACACCACTCCAACCACACTTTGGCTCGGGAAAACACCCACTGCTCGCTCTCTTCGCGTCTGGGGGTGCACCGCCTATGTCCTTCTCAACCCTCAGGCCAGACGACAGCGCGGTGGCAAACTCGGTCCCAAGACTCAAACGTGCATCTACCTTGGGCACAACGCCGACTCCCCTGACTATCTCTTCCTCAACCCCTTCACTCAACAGTTAGTCCGGAGCCGCGACGTTGTCTTTGATGAACTCCACCCATTCTACTCCACCTCGGGACCGGATCCTCCTTCTGATCCCCCCTCTCTCGTATAGGCGGACTTTGATGCGCACCCTGACCCCCCACCTGCACCGGCCCCTTCACCACCTCCCTCCCCTGCCATCGCACCCTCCCCCTCATAGATCTCTGACCCAACCTCGCCGGTGTCTTCGGCGGCTGCCCCTCCATCCCCCTCACCTCCCACTCTGCCGACTGTGCTGCCACCTCCGAGCGCACCTATCACTTACCATCGGCGATCACACCCTTCGGCCCCACATCCTCCCCCAGTTCCCCCTACCACCGAGGAACCCGCTCTCCCACACTCGCCCAAGCTGATCACGTACCACAGGCGGCCCATTCCCCCGCCCAAGCCTCCTAAGTCAACCCCTCCGACACCGCCTGCCCCACCCTCTTCTCCGGTGGCTCATGGCACTAGTTCGCATGGCGCTGCTCTTCCACTGGCACTGATTCTTCGATGCACAGCGATCACACCGCCTCCTCCTGCTGGGGGGATGTGCCCTCTACCCTCCTGGAAGACAGGCATGAGGAGCTGTGTGATCTTCACGCAGTCATTCCTCAGCTCTCGCACATCTTCCCCGACATCACTGAATCACACTCACTCAACTTCGCGGAGAACCCGACCATCCCTATCCCTCTCACCGTCCAAGAGGCTCTCTCGGGTCCCCATGCAGCCGAATGGCGTGTTGCCATGGAAGCAGAGATTGAAGCGTTCACCCGCAACCACTCTTTCGACGACGAGACTCCACCTCCAGGAGTCAACATCGTTGGAGGCAAGTGGTTGTTTCGTATGAAACAGCTCCCAGACGAGGCCCCGGTGTTCAAAGCGCGTTACGTAGCCAAGGGTTTCACCCAGCAGCAGTACCACAACTTCTTCAAGACCTTCTCCCCCACATCCAAACCTCCCACTATTCGCACGCTCATGGATGTCGCATCACGAGAAGACTTTGAGATCAAGTCCATGGACGCCTCATCAGCTTTCCTACAAGGATGCCTCAAGGAGACAGTGTTCATGGACAGACGTGAAGGCTTCCCAGGACAATTCCCTCCCAACACTGTCTGGAAGCTGAATCGCCCCGTCTACGGCCTTAAGCACGCCCCTCGCGAATGGCACAATAAGGTGAAAGAAGTCCTTCTCTCCCTGGACTTCCACCCCTCGTCTGCTGACCCGACTCTCTTCATTCGCAGTCATTCTGAGCCATTCTACATCCTTGTCTACGTCGATGACTTCATCCTCGTTGCGAAGGACTTGACCCAGATGACCTCTGTCCAGGCGGCTCTGAGCAAGGCCCTCCAAATGAAAGACCTCTGTGACCTCAAGCACTACCTGGGGATGGAGATCACACGTGATCGCAAGGCTCGCACCATTTCACTCTCCCAGGAGTTCTACATCAACAATGTGCTCAAGCGGTTTGAGATGGAGCTGTGCACACCCGTTGCCACACCGTTGCCGCTGCAACACCTCCTCACGACCCCAGCTGTACCCACACCAGAGGCCTGCTCTGAGCCATACCCGGAGCTTGTTGGGTCCCTCATGTACGCCATGATGTGCACCAGGCCTGACTTGGCGTATCCTGTCAGTGTCCTCTCTCGCTACGAGGCCCCTGGGCGTTTCACTGATCTTCACTGGAAGGCAGCGAAGCGGGTACTGCGTTATCTCCAAGGCACCAAGTCTCACGCTCTCACACTTGGTGGGCTCTCCCCTCCTCGGCTAGAAGGTTACACTGACTCCTCTTGGGCCGATGACTAGACCGACCGACGCTCCTCTCAAGGGTTCTAATTCACCCTTGGGAGCGGAATTGTTAGTTGGCACTCCACCAGATCGTCAGCAGTCTCCCTCTCCTCCTGTGAGGCAGAGCTCTACGCTGGCACCATGGCTGCTCAAGAGGCCCGGTGGCTCACCTTCCTACTCCAAGAGCTTGGCTACCCTTAGTCCACCCCCACCCTTTGGTGTGACAACCAGAGTACTATCCACCTCTCCCAAGACCCTGTGTATCACACTCGCACCAAGCACATCGAACTTCGGCATTTCTTCATCCGTGACCTTGTCCAGCGGGAGCAGCTGAACGTGGAGTACGTTGCATCTGACTGCAACCTGGCTGATCTGTTCACCAAGCCCCTTGGGAAAGTTCCTCACCACCGTCTCCTTGGCGCCATGGGGCTCTGTGCTCCACTTTCTCTGCCCTGAGTTCGATTGACGCCTATGGGGGGTGTTAGTGTTAGCCTTCAATCGCACACTTTGTACTTTGTATTTTCTATATCCTAGAGTAGTGTAGTTTGCACTTTGTGTTTGGTTGGGTGTACACCTACATCCCAACCAAACCCAAATGTAATCTCCAAGCAATCTCCAACCCACCAATTGAAGATTGCCTTGGGATTACCCCAATCCCTAGGGATTGCCCTCGATTCTCTTCCCATCCATTCCCTACCCTTCTTGGATGTACTTAAAGAGCTTCAAGCTCATTACTAATGCATCGTTTCTAAGCCTAAATTCTAACAGCATGTCCTGAGGAAAAGGTTCCACATGATCCAATGGTGCAACCGGCGCAGGCAGCACAAAAGGGAGCACAGACCCACACATGTGTGGTGTGGTGCATACATACTACATACTATGGGTATGGGACTACATACCCACAGTGTGCCTCGTATGTGCTCCCCAGCATGTCCTCTGGAAAAGGCTCCACATGATCCGGTGGCGCAACCGGCACAGGCAGCACAAAAGGGAAAACAGAACGGCTCTCCAAGTGCGGCTTGTCTGGGCCATAAAACTGCTTGAGCTCCCCCGTTTCTGTATTGTCATACATGGCAAATGAGTACGTGCTGCTGCTGCCTGCAATCAGACGTGGGTGGAACAAGGAAGACGGCAAAGCAAGGTTGAAAACATATGGAATGAGAGCCAGCGAAGCGGGCCTGATTTGAGAAGTCTCAAAGGTATTCCAACACAAGTAGCAGTAAAAAATGAAGCAGTAACGGTGATTGTATATCACCAGCACGGGAGTCCAGGCGTGGTGAATGTAAAAGGAAGAAGGGGGATAAAGGGTGTATCACAATAAGCTTTTTCCACCCCGGATAGTGAAAATCGCTCACCGTTCACGGATAATGAAAACGCTCACCGTTCACGGATAATGAAAACGCTCACCATTCACGGATAGTGAAATCGCTCACCGTTCTCAAGCATTTGCATTATTTCGCGGGTCCTCCACTCCAGATGAAACACACCGCCCCATGCAATGCTCAAGGCGTCCCGAATTTGCTGTGAGGACGCGTTGGCTGGCAGAGGATGGCGGAAGATGGGCACAACAAAGACTGCGGGGGGAAATGAAGAGGGGAGGGGAGGGGAGGAGAGGGGAGGAGAGATGAAACACACCACCCCATGCAATGCTCAAGTCGTCCCGGATTTGCTGTGAGGACGCGTTGGCTGGCAGGGGGTGGCGGAAGATGGGCACAACGAGGACTGCGAGGGAACACAAGGGAGGGTGCAGAGGGTGCACAGGGTGCAGAGGGTGCAGAGCATGGCAGAAGGTGGATGCATCTGACCGTTTTTTGGTGACTCAAAAGCCAGCTGGCAGCGGATGGCGGAAGATGGGCACCACGAAGACTGCGAGGGACAAGGGGGAGAGGGAAGGAGAATGTAAGGTTGGATAAAGAATGGCTTTGTCGACTCCAAATGTGCCGACCTTTTTGTCGCCTCAAGAATGTGCCAAAAAAATAGTTGACTCGCGAATGCGACTTGTACCTGTAAGTTTGAAACAAAGTGGCTTCGACAAGACAACAACCATAGAAATCACGAAAGAGAAAGCACAAATGAGATGACACGAATGAAATGACACGAAAGAGGTGACACAAAAGAGATGACACGAATGAAATGACACTAAAGAGATGACACGAATGAGATGACACGAATGAGATGACACGAATGAAATGACACGAATGAGATGACACGAATGAAATGACACGAAAGAGATGACACGAATGAAATGACACGAATGAGATGACACGAATGAAATGACACGAAAGAGATGACACGAATGAGATGACACGAAAGGGATGACACGAAAGGGATGACACGAATGAGATGACACGAATGAGATGACACGAATGAAATGACACGAATGAGATGACACGAATGAAATGACACGAAAGAGATGACACGAATGAGATGACACGAATTAGATGACACGAAAGAGATGACACGAATGAGATGACACGAAAGAGATGACACGAATGAGATGACACGAATGAGATGACACAAATGAGATGATACGAAAGAGATGACACGAATGAGATGAATGGCTTGCTTTGAAGCACGAAAGGCTGCAGTTACAGGCTCACTCATGTGAGATGAATGAAATTCCAGTCCAGGTAGAATTTCCAAGCAAGCCATGCTCTGAATGAGTCTGTTTCTGAGTCGACTCAAAAACAGAATCTCCATGCAAGCCATGCTCTGAATGAAGACCAGAGCACCGTGGAAAAAGATCAGAGAACATGCCATTGATGGCACTTGAAACACACAGGCAGCAGCAATAAGGTGAAAAGCACTCAACACAAGTCAAAGAAAACAAGAGGGCACTCGATGGATCCTAGAGAGGAGCGGGAACGAACCACTTGTCGCAAATTCTGTGAAAACAGGAGGCCCTGCGATGGTCCGTCCGTCCTTTCAGCAGGTTGTCAAGGAGGACAGGCGGGACGAGCGAACTGAAGTCTGTGAAGGGCTGCAGGGGCAGGTCGGGGTTGATGCTGCCGCACACGTTCACTCCGTACAGATCCTTCCTTGGGGCGGGCAGGCCCAGCACTGACCGGATCTGAAAGCCTGTGATGCTCTCCACCAATGGCCTGTAGCGAGGGGAGGGACGAGAGGTGTGAAGTCCGTGAAGGGCTGCAGGGGCAGGTCGGGATTGATGCTGCCGCACACGTTCACTCCGTACAGATCCTTCCTTGGGGCGGGCAGGCCCAGCACTGACTGGATGGGAAACCCAGTAATGCTCTCCACCAATGGCCTGCAGGGAGGGGAAGTAGGGGTGTGCAAGCAGGCATGCGGGAAAAGAAGAGGAGCTCTCTGTCAGTCAGGGCCAGGGTGTGGTGGCGGATACTGTGTGCAGACGGCAGCACCGTAGGATGTGATCCATAAAATCCACAGAAAGCCTAGCACTTGACTTTTGTAACCAGTGAAACAGTAGAAAGAAAGCAGAAAAGGATGTCACAAGAATGCGACCATACTCTTTTTCTGTGTCGAAAACTCCATTCATCTAGAGAACTTTATTTATCTGAATGACTCAGCTCGTCTAAGGGCCACAAGTTTTTCGCAAAGCCTGGCATGTCATCCTAACGGGCTCAATTCTTCCAGGAGGCTCGCCTCCTTCTAAGGGCTCAGTCGTTTGGCATGAATGAAGGATAGCATGAAAAGGGCTCATACAGAGTGAATTTGGCAAAAGGCCGACCCGACTCGCCAAGCTTGGCTCTGCTTTCCCCCAATCCAAACCAACTTTGTTCAGGAACAAGGCTGAGCCGACTCGCCAAGCTTGGCTCTGCTTTCCCCCAATCCAAACCAAATTTGTTCAGGAACAAGGCCGAGCCGACTCGCCAAGCTTGGCTCTGCTTTCCCCCAATCCAAACCAACTTTGTTCAGGAACAAGGCCGACCCGACTCGCCAAGAAGCTACCTTGGACCTTTTTTCGGAATGACAGACAGACAAATCAGGCGAATCCCTTGTAGCAGCGTCACGTGCTTCAGGATGAGCGTGCGCCAGCAGCCGGAAACTGACCTGTCTTGGTCGGAGAGGAGCATGACGGTGCCGGTGCTGTAGTGAGCAATGGGGGGTCAACGGTCAACCTGCCAGCCCACTTGGTCCAGACTTGACTGACCTGTCCTGGTCGGAGAGGAGCATGATGACAGTGCCGGTGCTGTAGTTGGCGATTCTGTCAGCTTTTAACGAGTATGACATGATTGAGTTGTTGTTGACGCACCCCGCCAGCCCCCAGTAGCTCAGGTTGCTGCTGCTGCGCGGCCCAAAGTGCCCAAAAACCGTCACCCGACCGACTGACTCCTGTGGAGTGAGATGGGAGGAGCAGAGGGGGGCAGGAGATGGAACGGGGGAGATGAAAAGAGGGAGGCGGAAAGAGGGAGGCAGAAAGAGGGAGGCGGAAAGAGGGAGGCGGAAAGAGGGAGGCGGAAAGAGGGAGGCGGAAAGAGGGAAGCGGAAAGAGGGAGGCGGAAAGAGGGAAGCGGAAAGAGGGAGGCGGAAAGAGGGAGGCGGAAAGAGGGAGGCGGAAAGAGGGAGGCGGAAAGAGGGAGGCGGAAAGTAGCTCAGGTTGCTGCTGCTGCGCGGGCCAAAGTGCCCGAAGACCGTCACCCAACCGACTGACTCCTGTGGCGTGAGCCCAATGGGGTTAAGTGGGTGATGGAAAGAGGGGAGATGGAAAGAGGGGTGATGGAAAGAGGGGTGATGGAAAGAGGGGTGATGGAAAGAGGGGTGATGGAAAGAGGGGAGATGGAAAGTGGGAAGAGATGGGTGGGAAGAGATGGGTGGGAAGAGATGGAGATGGGTGGGAAGAGATGGAGATGGGTGGGAAGAGATGGGTGGGAAGAGATGGAGATGGGTGGGAAGAGATGGGTGAGAAGAGATGGGTGGGAGATGGGTGGGAGGGGATGGGTGGGAAGAGATGGGTGAGAGATGGGTGGGAAGAGATGGAGATGGGCGGGAAGAGATGGGTGGGAAGAGATGGAGATGGGTGGGAAGAGATGGGTGGGAAGAGATGGGTGAGAGATGGGTGGGAAGAGATGGAGATGGGCGGGAAGAGATGGGTGGGAAGAGATGGAGATGGGTGGGAAGAGATGGGTGAGATATGGGTGGGAAGAGATGGGTGAGAGATGGGTGGGAAGAGATGGGTGAGAGATGGGTGGGAAGAGATGGGTGAGAGATGGGTGGGAAGAGATGGGTGAGAGATGGGTGGGAAGAGATGGGTGAGAGATAGGTGGGAAGAGATGGGTGAGAGATGGGTGGGAAGAGATGGGTGAGAGATGGGTGGGAAGAGATGGGTGAGAGATGGGTGGGAAGAGATGGGTGAGAGATGGGTGGGAAGAGATGGGTGAGAGATGGGTGGGGAAGAGATGGGTGAGAGATGGGTGGGAAGAGATGGGTGAGAGATGGGTGGGGAAGAGATGGGTGAGAGATGGGTGGGGAAGAGATGGGTGAGAGATGGGTGGGAAGAGATGGGTGAGAGATGGGTGGGAAGAGATGGGTGAGAGATGGGTGGGAAGAGATGGGTGAGAGATGGGTGGGAAGAGATGGGTGAGAGATGGGTGGGAAGAGATGGGTGAGAGATGGGTGGGAAGAGATGGGTGAGAGATGGGTGGGAAGAGATGGGACAGCCGCAAAGATCGTGACGACCTCACCTCACAATGGGCTTACCTGCGCGGATTCGCATGCCTGCGCGGATGGGCATACCTGGGCGGATAAGCATACCTGCCTGGACTTTGAGCGGATAAAGCCTTCGGAAGGCCTTACCTACGGGAAAGGGCTTACCTGCGCGCACACTCCGATGGGCGTTACCTGCGCGCATCAGTGCTACTCCCCGCTAGACCACCGGGTCAAAAAGTTACCTGCGCGCATCTGTGCGTGGCGCTACCTGCGCGCATCTGTGCGTGGCGTTACCTGCGCGCAACTGTGCGGGGCGAAACTACCTGCGCGCATCTGTGCGCGGCGCTACCTGCGCGCATCTGTGCGGGGCGCAACTACCTGCGCGCATCTGTGCGCGGCGCTACCTGCGCGCATCTGTGCGGGGCACAACTACCTGCGCGCATCTGTGCGCGGCGCTACCTGCGCGCATCTGTGCGGGGCGCTACTACCTGCGCGCATCTGTGCGCGGCGCTACCTGCGCGCATCTGTGCGGCGCGCTAGTACCTGCGAGCGAGCGATGGACGATCGCATGTCCTGCTGGAGGTATCGCACGCGCGTGCGACACCACGCTCGCATCGCCTCCTGCCGCGGATTGGCGGCCTGCGAGTGCGCGAACCACACTACCCACGCGCACAGCCCCGCCCATCCCGCCACCCACGCCGCCCCCAGCAGCGCCCTCGCCACGCCCGACGGCAGGCGGGCCGGCGAGAAACGCGCGAGCGACACCCGCATGCAAGCTGCGACAGTGGGCGACTTTGAGCGACAGAAATGCGACAGGAATGCGACAGCCTAACGCGTGCGGCGAGAATAATGGGAGAGGCTAACGGGGAAGGAGCAACAAGAGAACAGAAAAGGAATGAGATCGAGGCTGTGAAGTCTCTTCGCTCGGAGCGAGGAATTCGAGAGGCTTCGGTGAGGTATGGAGCGACAGGAAAGCGACAGAAGTGGAGGGCGCGGAGCGAGAGGCGAACAAGAACAGAGTAACAGCTGTCGCGAATGAGGGATAAATGCACATATCGAACATTTGAAATGTTACCGCATGTGTAGAAACTGGTGGGTCGATTTGGGATTGGAAAGGTCAAGCCCGGACTCACACCTTTTGTCGAAGCTACCATATCGAGAACCCGGCGCCACCACTGCTTGGTACCCCATCCACCAACCAACCTCTCCGCCCAACCCCCCCCCCCCACCTCTCCCGGTCCTCCCCGCCCATGCCTCCCCCCTCATCCCTCTCCCCGCCCAATACCCTCCCCGCTTGCTTCCTCTGCCGCTGCGACCTTGCGACATTGCTGCTGGCCGTTGTGTGGCTTCACTTCACACACCTGCTCAGTACAACCGTACAGATATGCAACTGACAGCTCTACATTCCACTCCCATTCATCATGGCCCAGTTAGAGTCCATCAGATAGCCTATAATTTCCGCAAGTGCGCGCGACGCTAAGCAAGTCGTTTCGTAAACGCAAACATCGTCTCTTCCCGCCTCTCGCCTCTCGCGTTGCCCAGGCTTGCGGATATTGCCACTAGCGAGCGGGCCGAGCGACGCCTTTGGCGCCCCACTTAGCTGGGCGACGCCCCATTAGCCGAGCGACGCCCCATTAGCCGAGCGACGCCGAATTTTCCGGGCGATGGATTCTCGCTCGTCGCCCGTCGTCGCCGAGTCTCCCGGCGACGATTCCGCCTCGCCAATCCATTCGCTATCCGACGATCTTCTCACCTCCATCCTCCGCCTAGTCCTCTCCGCCAATCCCACCGCATCCGTTACAACATCCGATACAAGCACCGGCGATTCTCGCCCGTCCTACCAGGCGGCTCTCGTCTGCAAGCGCTGGTCCCGCGTCGCGCCTCTCGCGCTCACCTCCCTCACAGTCCTCTCCGCGTCTTCCGCCGCCTCCCCCGCCGCCTCCTTTTCCCCCAAGCGCGAGCTGCTCTGCCGCCGCCTCGAGCTAGCGCTGCGCAAGTTTCCGAACCTGACTCGCCTGCACCTCGACAGCCACACGATCGACTTCATCGACGATCGCTTCTTGCGCGCCCTAGGCTCGGCATGCCCGAACCTGACGTACCTCTTCCTGGGAAAGGTTCGGCTGCCAGTTCGGCCGCCGCTCGTCGACGCGGTGAGCGAGACGGGCCTCGCGAGCGTTTTTCGCAGCTGCCGGCGGCTCGAGAATGTGAGCGTGCACTGCGCGCCGAACATCAAATCGCTCCCCGCGTCGCTCCTCGATCTTTCCGCGCTGCACCTGCTGCAGCTCGAAGCGCCGAGTTTAAAACTCTTCCCGGAAGTCTCCCGGGGGAGACTAAGCACGCTCCGCGATTTGCGGCTGCTGTCGTGCAACGCGCTGCCGTGCCTGCCGGACTGTCTGGGCGACCTCGCGGGTCTCACGCATCTGCGCATCGAGAAATCCGACAATCTCGAGCAGCTGCCGGACTCGTTATGCGACCTGCAGCTGCTCGACGTCCTCGTTATAAGCTCCTGCTACTGGCTCACGTCGCTGCCCGACGATCTCGGGCAGCTGCCGTGCCTGCGCGTGCTCGAATTGGACGGCTGCGGGGGATTGCTCGAATTGCCCTGCTCGCTGCCGCAGCTCCACTCTCTCGAACGACTCGTTATAAGCCGATGCGGTAACCTTACACTCCTGCCCGAAGACATTGGGCAGTTACCACTCTTACGCGAATTGGAAATCAGCAAGTGCCATCGCCTCGTCGGCCTCCCGCCCTCCCTGTCGGACTTAGCCCAGCTCCAGTTCCTGGAAGTTTCCGACTGCACGCGTTTAGAGTCCCTTCCCGACGACTTAGGCCGTCTATCTGTCCTTAGAACCCTGCGCCTCGCCTCGCTTCCTAATCTCACCTCTCTGCCCGAAACCCTAGACCAGCTGACCTTTTTACGAGAGCTCCAATTAGAAGAGATAGACAATCTTTTGGGCCTGCCCGACCCGGTAACGAGCCTCGGGCAGCTGGAAAAACTCGTTCTGGGGCTGTCCTGCTCGCCGAGTCTGCCCGAATCCGTAGGCGCGCTGACCCGTTTGAAAGAGCTGCAGCTGCGACACTGTAAGGGGTTAACGAGTCTGCCTATAGCGATGCGCGCGATGACGCGGCTGGAGCGGCTGGCGGTGGAGGAGTGCTGCGAGCTGGTGGCTCTGCGCCTGCCGGAAGGAGAGGCCGTGGGTGCTACTGGGAGGGATGGGGGAGGGCAAGCAAAATCAAGATTCAAAGAAGAGGGAGGGGTAGCCGAGCAGGTGGAGGAAAAGCAGCGGCAGGAGCAGAAGGAGGGGGAGCAGGGACAGCAGGGTCAGCAGGGGCAGCAGAGGCAAGAGCAGGGCCAGATAGTTGGGTTGAATGCAGCAGCAGCAGCTGGTTCAGCACCGCTCCCAGCCACTCTCACTGACGGACTCAGCCGTCTCACCCTCATGACCAAATCTCCTCAACCCCCCTCCCCCCCCCCTTCCCGCTTCCACGTCTTCCTTTCCCCCTCGCACCTCCCCCCGCCTCCGTGCCCTCATACTCGTAGGCTGCACGTCCCTTCGCGCCCTCCCCGCATCTCTGACTGCCCTGGCTGAGCTAGAGCGGCTGGTGGTAACCAGGTGCACCGCGTTACAGTGGGCGCCGGGGAACGTGGCGCGGATGCATGGGCTGCGGGAGCTGAGGCTGGATGGGTGCAGAACGGTGCTGCTGCCGCCGTCGCTGGCGTGCTTGGGCCGGCTGGAGAGGCTGGTTGTAGTGAGTAATGGGTGTAGTGGGAGCGGTGTAGGGGCGGGGGATGAGGTGGGGCCGGGGATGGGGGTGGATATGGATGGTAGCATGAATGGTAGCAGCAGCAGCAGCAGCAGCGGGAGTGGACACGGGTGTGTGACAACCAAGGAAGGTGCCTCTGACATTTGTCGCACTCAAGATAGTGCTGCTGTGGCTGGTGCTGTCATGCTTAGTTCAACAACGGATGGCTCTAGCGCTGCCGCCAATGCCACTAGTGTTAATGCCGCCGCTGCGAGTAGTGGCTGCGGGGGTCGTGGGGCTGAAAGGGGGGCTGCAGGAAATCTCCACAGTGTACCAACTCGTTTGTCACCAGGCAGCAAGGATACCAGGGGTGACACTGTGGCAGGTAGCAGTAGCAACAGCAACAGCAGCAGCAGCAATAGCAGTGGCGGTGGTGACAGCAGTAACTGTAGTGATAACCTCAGTATCTCAGATGGGAGATTCAGCACGAGTTCAAGCAGCAGCTGCAATGGAGGTAGCAACGGGTTCATTGAAACACACTCACACCCTCATCAGCACCACCACCTGCACCCTCATCCGCATTCACACACACCCCCCACACGCGATTCCCCATCGGCCCTTATCCCATCCAATGCAACCGACCCCCCCTCCTCTGCCCACGAGCCCTTCTCCTCCTTCCTCCCCTCGCCGCCCCTGGCTCTCCCCCCCGGCATGGGCCAGCTGGCGCAGCTGAGGGAGCTGGAGGTGAGCGGCTTTGACTCCCTCTCCGCCCTGCCGCCCTCCCTCGCCTCCCTCTCCCGCCTCACCCGCCTCTGCCTCACCGGATCCCTCAAACTCGCCTCCCTGCCTGACCTTCCCTGTGGTCCGGTTGCTGCTGGTAATGATTCCTGCTGCTGCTGTGGTTGCCCCTCCTCCTCCTCCTCCTCCTCCTCCTCCTCCTCCTCCTCCTCCTCCTCCTCCTCCTCCTCCTCCTCCTCCTCCTCCTCCTCCTCTTCCTCCTCGTCCTCCTCCCTCCTCATAGCCCCTTCCCGCACTGCCCCCAACGGCACCTTCTTCCTCCATCTCACCAACCTACGAGACCTGCAGCTCGATTCCTGCCTCTCCCTCTCCTCTCTCCCCTCCTCCCTCTCCTCTCTCTCCTCCCTCAACCGCCTCCACCTCGCCTTCTGCTCCTCCCTCTCCGCCCTCCCCCCACACCTCTCCTCCCTCTCCCACCTTCGCTCCCTCAACCTCCAAGAGTGCATCTCCCTCACCTCGCTCCCCCCCTCCCTCTCCTCACTCGTCCGCCTGGAAGGGCTTTACCTCAAGGGGTGTATCCAGCTGAAAAGCCTTCCGGGCGACATTGGGTATTTGCCGAGGCTAAGGGAATTGGATTTGAGGGACTGTGAGGGGCTGCTGGCACTGCCGGGGTCAATCACCCTCCTTACGGGGCTCAAGTGGTTGGATATATTTGGGTGTAGTAGTTTGGATATGGAGTCGGTCCCTGCAAGGATAGGCCAAGCCACGATCTATCGGAGCTAGTGTGCTTGGGCTTGTGCTAAAGTCAGGCTGAACAAGTTAGGCAGCAAACGCATAGGCTGTGGCATTGAGCAGTAGTCATAATTAAAAGAGTTAGGTGAAACTAGAATCGGAACTTGCAGTACGGTATATGCAGATTTTTTATTATATATATATAAGAATGCTTCCACGCACAAGCAACGCTCGTCACTAGAGCACGTACATTGCTGCAAAACAGGGTGCCTACACTGATTTTTCAGAGTATTTCTTCATAACGAGGCTGACTGAAAGCTGTTTTTTTTTAGGCAACACTGACCAGAAAGTGTTGTCTAAGGGCGTGTCCAGCGCGTACATTTTGGGAATATTAGTACCTTCACACGTTTCCCGGCTCAAAATATCTCACTGTACCAAAAAACGAATATAAGGCGAGTCGAGTCCGAAGGAGTGGGCCTTCCAGCGCGCAGACCAGTGCCCTAGATATCAGACTTTGGAGTCTGAATCAAAGTCCGTTCAGACTTTTTTTTTTGTACCTAGTCTGAACTCAAAGAATTTATTTATGTACCTTGTCTGATTTTCTAGAGTTTTTTCTTATGAGTTGTCTGAAATTTCAGCCTAATTTTACTAGGGTAGGCTGAGCCTCAGACTTGTATCGGGGGTACACTCTGCGCGCTTATCGGAGCGAAGTTTCTTGGAAGTTTCCTTCCGATATGCCCACTTCCGAGATGGCAGTGGAGTGCCAGGACGTGAGCAACGCTCACTTCGACATGAAGACAAAATCTCATCACATGTAAGTTATCGCTAATGTATTGTAAAGAATAGGCGACTTTGATGCTGATTCGCTGTAAAAACATCTGCAGCACGCACTGGTGTGAATTGCGAAGTTCCTGATTCGTAGTGAAAGTTTCGTGTGGCACTGTCTGATCCTCACATGCCACGCCAAGCAACAGTTTCTGCCTGCTACGAGCTCAGCTGCGTGGCACTTGGCCCACCTGATACAGATCGGGTGAACGATCGAATCGCTTGAAAAGCAAATCCAAAACTGATAAAATCGGCACACATGCGAGAAAATGGGTACAGAACGGTAATCACACACACGACAAAACGAAATGAGATCAGCAGAGCAGAAACAACTTTCTAGGGTTTGTACTTGTACCCAATTTTCCCTTAGTCAATTCATTCTCGTTCATTTTCTCATGGTATCGAGCAGGTTCCCATAAAAGGAACTGTTCCTAGGGCCCACCACCTTTTTTTTCCTGCCCGGAGCGCGCTCTACTCTGCCCGAGTCGCGCTCCCCTCTTTCGACCCTGTCGCGCCGCCTTAGCGGCCCCGTCGTGTCGCACTTGCGGCCCCGTCGCGTCGCCCTCGCGGCCCCGTCACGTCGCGCCGCCCTAGCGGCCGCGTCGCGCCGCCCTCGCGGCCCCGTCGCGCCGCCCTCTCGGCTCCGTCACGTCGCGCCGCCCTCGCGGCCTGTTCGCGCCGCCCTAGCGGCCCTTTCGTGCCGCCCTCGCGGCCTCTTCAAGCCGCCCTCGCGACCCCCCCCTCCTAGCCGCCCTAGCGGCCCCGTCGCCTACCCCTGCGGCCCCGGCACCGCCCTTTCCGGCCCCGCCGCCGCCCTTCCCGGCCTCGGCGCCGCCTCTGCTGGCCCCGTCGCCTACCCTGCGGCCCCGGCGCCTACCCTGCGGCCCCGGCGCCTACCCTGCGGCCCCGTCGCCTACCCTGCGGCCCCGGCGCCTACCCTGCGGCCCCGTCCCCTACCCTGCGGCCTCGGCGCCTACTCAGTGGCCCCGTCGCCTACCCTGCGGCCCCGTCGCCTACCCTGCGGCCCCGGCGCCTACCCTACGGCCCCGGCGCCTACCCTGCGGCCCCGTCGCCTACCCTGCGGCCCCGGCGCCTACCCTGCGGCCTCGTCGCCTACCCTGCGGACCCCTCGCCTACCCTGCGGCCCCGGCAACTAGCCTGCGGCCCCGGCGCCTACCCTGCGGCCCCGGTGCCTACCCTGCGGCCCCGGCGCTACCCTTCCCGGCCCCGGCGCCGCCTCTACCGGCCCCGCCGCCGTCCCCACGCGGCCGCCGGCGTCGCCGAGCTACTGCCGAGCCGCCCGAGCCACCCGAGCCGCCCGAGCCGCCGCGCCACCTGAGACGCCCGAGCCGCCGTGTCGCCGAGCTACCGAGCCGCCGTACCGCTGAGCCGCCCGAGCCGCCAGAGCCGCCGAGTCGCCGAGCCGCAGTTGCTGCCGAGCCGCCGTACCGCCGAGTCGCCCTAGCCGCCAGAGCCGCCGAGTCGCCGAGCTGCATTTCCTGCCGAGCCGCCGAGCCGCCAAGCCGCCCGAGCCGCCCTGTCCGGTAAGAGCAGCGCCTCTATCACTGCACTGCCCTTACCCTACTGTTCGCGCTGCTACTCTACTACTGTCATGGCTACCCCTAGTGTCCTCGCTTTTGACGCTGAGGGTCGGGCCATTGACTTTGACGTCTAGGTAGATGACCTGCACCTTTTCCTACAGTGCGATAGGGCAGACGGTCTCTCCCTCTTTGACCTCATTTCTCGTGCCTCTCCTGCCCATGCTGCTAATACTGACGCCACTCTTCGCTCACAGTGGGCCACACGCGATGCTGCTGCACGTCTTGCTGTGCGTCGCCACCTGCCTACCTCTGAGCGTGCACACTTTAGCCAGTACAAGAGTGCTCAGACCTTGTACGACGCTGTAGTTGCGCGCTACTCCTCCCCTTCCACTGCTGCACTGAGCCGCCTCATGCTACCGTACCTCTTTCGTGACCTTGCTGTCTTTCCCACAGTCGCTGACCTCATTACGCACCTCCGCACTAGTGACACTCGCTACCGCGCTGCGCTTCCTGCTGAGTTCTGCGCCAAGAACCCCACTGTCACAGGATCGAATTCTCAATCGAAACTTGTCACTAAAACTGAATACAAGGCCTATTTATACTCGGAAAGTACAAGGATAAACGAGATAAAACGAACCTTCGGGAACATACCCTTCCCGATACTACAATCACAAGTGCGCATAAGCACGCAAGTCTATTGGCACTTGGAATTACACCCAGATTACACCGTATGCACCACTGTCGGCGCTGTCGGTGCCGTATAATAGGTATGTCGGTGGGAAAAGTAGGAAATAAGAGAAATAAATAGAAGGCTCTAGAAAATAGAATAGTAGGCCGATCGAGATGAGATAAAGACCAAAATAAAGAGGAGAAAAGGGAGAATAGGATAACGGAAAAATATAATAGTGAGAAAATATTATAACGGGGACGTCCTCTCACACTTCCCCCCCTCAAAGCTGGGTGGTAGAAGTAACACCCTGCTTGACAAGGTAGTCCTGTAGAGGACGGCGGGCGTTATCCATGCTGTGTTCAGGTACCCAGGTATCCTCGGAAGGATCATAGCCTTTCCAACGAATCAAGAGCTCCAAGGTGCCGCTACGACGTCGTCCGTGCGCCAGAACGGCTTCGACTTCGTACTCGGGTTCCCCATTAACGATCAGTGGCAGTGGCGGCGGCGGCTGGCGACCTTTGAAGACCGTGTTTGGGTCCCGATAGGGCTTGAGAAGTTGAACATGGAAGGCATTGTGAATTCTCCAGGTAGCTGGTAAACGCAAGCGGAAGGTTACTGGAGTGACCTGTGTGAATTGAGTAAGCAGGAATGAAAATGACAAAGGAAAGATTGGGTACAAATACAACCCTAGGAACCCTGTACCCCAAATGTGCTACCCCACTATAGCCTACAGCAACTATGTCATATAAATCTGACACACCCCCATAGGCAAAGTGGGGGAGAACAAGGGGTCACAAGACCAGTCAAGCAAAGCAAAGCAAGCTCAGGGTGGATCACAAAGTCACCACACAGTCCGAGCACAAGAGTAGGGCCAGAGGCCAGTTCACATGCAGGAGTACAGACATATATATAAAACTAGACAAACAAGAGCAGGCATATATATATATGTCACAGTACAAGTGAAGTCAAGAGGAGAGCAAGTGAGGCAAGACAGGCACAAGACCCAACTGGGTGCAAAAGCGCTGATGGTCACAAGGCGCGAGTGCCTTGGTGAACACATCAGCAGTGTTGGCCTCAGAGGCCACGTACGCAAGTCGCAACTGACCACGCTGCTGCAGCTCACGAGCAAGGAAGTAGCGGAGAGCAATGTGCTTCGTTCTGTGCTCCAAGCGCTGCTCTCGACACAAGGCCAGCATAGCCTTGTTGTCTACGTACAGCACTGGAGGAGAACGAGGCGACTCTCCAAGGTCAGTCAGCAGGTAGGTGAGCCAGCGAAGCTCCTGTGCAGCCATGGCCCCGGCTTAGATCTCAGCCTCACAACTGGAGCCGAGAACCGAAGACGAGCGAGTAGACCGCCACGAGACAGAGCCGGAACCAAGGCTGAAGGTGTAACCCTGTGACGACCGCTGCGTAGCCTGGTCGTCAGCCCAAGAAGCGTCCGCGTGGCCGGTAAGGACCACTGGACTCCGCCCTCCAAGCACTAGCCCCATGCCCGACGTACTGCACAGGTAGCGCAATACCCTCTTCGCTGCAGCCATGTGCTCCGGTCTGTGTCTCCCAGGAGCAACATAGCGTACAAGAATGCTCAGAGGGTATGCAAGGTCAGGTCGTGTGCAGGTCATCAGGTACATGAGGCAGCCAACAAGCTCTGCATACGGACCACTCGACTCTACGAACTCATCCGAAGGCAGAGCTGAGAGTGAGTGGCGAGTAGGCAGAGGAGTGGCCTGAGGCGAGGAGTACGTGAAGCCGAAGCGCTGAAGGACCTGCTGCACCATGTGTGACTGAGTCAAGGTAATGGTGCGGCGTGCTCTGTCCCGAGTGATCTGCAAGCCAAGGTAGCTGCGCAGTTCACCCAGGTCTGTGCACGTGTGTCTCTTCAACAGCTCGGACTTCACGTAGGCGAGTCCAGCAGTGTCTGCTGTGGCAAAGACCAAGTCGTCGACGTACACGAGGATGTAGAACGGCGGCAGGGAAGTGTCGGTGCGAAGAAACAGCGACGGGTCAGCAGTAGA